ACTTTGAAACTATGTGTCTTAGTCTGTTCAGACTGCTGTAACAAAACACTGAAGAATGGGTAATTTATAAGCAACAGAAATTTATTTCTCCCAGTTCTGGAGGCTGGGAAGTCCAAGACTGAGGTGGTGGCAGATTTGGTGTCTGATGAGAGCTGCTCTCTGATTCCAAAATGGCACCTTGTCTCTGAGTCCTCAATGGCAGAAGGCAGAAGGACAAAAAGAGGCAAAAACTCACTAGGCTTCCTTCATCCTCTTTTATAAGAACACTAATCCATTCTTGAGGGCAGAGCCCTCATAACATAATCAGTTCTTAATACTTACAAACTGAGTATTAGTTTCTAACATGAATTTTGGAGGAACACATACATTGAAACCATAGTACTATGAAAATATCATTCCTCATCACATTTTAATTTGCTCATTTATTTATGTTTGTAAGGCCTCATATTTTACTTAATATCATAAGTTACTATCACTGATACTACCAGTATTAATTTTGGCACTCAAATTATGGCCAATTTGGTCAGTAGGAACCTTTTTAAGTTGGCACTTTTGACACACCTTTATCATTAAAAAAATACTTCCTTGCTTTCTGGCACAATAAGTTCTGGGCTTTCTTGAATTTCTTTTTCTCCTCCAGGCCTGGAATCAGCCATTTCTCCAAGTCCTATTTCCTTTTATGTAAAATGATACCTCAAAGCCAAGATGTGGGTGCTGTACATGCTCCTGTTGGAGTGGTGTTACTTCCAGGTCCTATCTGAGATAGGTATATGTGTGTGTATACCTCATATTTACATCTAAATTAATTTCTATGTCTATCTCTGTATATAGAATACCATGAGTCTATGCTGACATCTGCAATTTCACACGTTTCTTCTAGTTTTCTCTCTTGCCATATATGTAGATCCCTTCTCTACTGGTGAGAAGGCTAGCTTCCATAATTTTTCTGATATTTACTTATGCAATCAACCCCACTTTATGCAATCCATCTCCATCCCCACTATGAACCCTTGCCCTATACAGATGTCCTCCTCTCGCTGTTTGGACTCTGACTCCCCTAACCACATCAACTGCCTGTGTGAATACTTCCTCACCCTGTTAAGGCTGATTTCTCATGCGAGGCTGCCTGCCATCCCAGAGTGATGCTCTTATTGTCCATGGGCTCTGATACCACCTCTGGACACTGCAGCTCCTCCTATCTTGGTCTATCCCACCTACACCTAATGGCTTCAGCACTGAATTTTTCAGGAAGTAGAAGGAATATCACTCAAGTTTTGCCATGTAATATTTTCATCTCCCAAAATTTTCAAGTCATAACTTACTTTATATATATTTTACATTTCAAATATATTGAGGATTTTTGTTTTTTATTTCTAATTTAGTGACATTGTGTTGAAATCTACTTTCTAAACTCTAAATTAATAATATTCAGATAACCCCTTGTATTTGTTGAGGTTTTCTTTAAAGCCCAATTAGTGGTTGTATTAGTCAGGGTTCTCCATAGAGACAGAACCAATGAATACACACACACACACACACACACACACACACACACACACACACAGAGAGACAGAGAGAGAGAGAGAAAGAGATATAGATATATGTGAGGGGATATTAGGGATAGTGACTCACATGCTTATGGAGGTTGAGAAATCCCATAATAGGCCATCTGCAAGATGGAGAACCTGGAAAACCAGTAGCATGGCTTGGTCCAAGTCCAAAAGCCTAAGAACTAGGGAAGCCAATGGTGTAATTCTCAGTCTGAGGCCAAAGACCTTAGAACGTGGTGGGGAGCCACTGATGCAAGTCTTGGAGTCCAAAAACTAGAGAATCTGGAGTTCTGGTGTACAAGGGCAGAAGAAGGGTATCCTACCTCCAGAAGAGAGAGAAAGACAAATAGTTCACTTTTTGATATGGTTTGAGTGTGTCCCCACCCAAATCTCATCTTGAATTGTAACTCCCACAATTCTCATGTTTTGCAGGAGAAACCCAGTGGGAGGTAATTGAATCATGGGGATGGGTCTTTCCCATGCTGTTCTCATGATGGTGAATAAGTCTCATGAAATTTAATAGTTTTAAAAATGGGATTTTCCTGGCACAAGCTCACTCTCTCTTTGCCTGCTGCCATCCATGTAAGATGTGACTTGCTCCTCCACCATGATTATGAGGCCTTCCCAGTGACCTGGAACTGTAAGTGCATTAAACCTCTTTTTGTAAACTGCTCAGTCTCAGGTATGTCTTTATCAGCAGTAAGAAAACAAACTTATACAAGCAATTGGTACCAGGAGTGGGGTTCTGCTGAAAAGATACCCAAAAATGTGGAAGTGACTTTGAAACTGGGTAACAGGCAGTGTGGTTGGAACAGTTTGGAGGTCTCAGAAGAAGACAGGAAAATGTGGTAAAGTTTAGAACTTCCTAAAGACTTGTTAAACGGCTTTGCCCAAAATGCTGATGGTGATAAGGACAATAAAGTCCAGGCTGAGGTGGTGTCAGATGGAAATGAGGAACTTGTTGAGAACTGGAGCAAAGGTGTCTCTTGTTATATTTTAGCAAAGAGACTGGTGGCATTTTGTCCCTGCCCTAGAGATTTGTGGAACTTTGAACTTGAGTGAGATGATTTAGGGTATCTGGCAGAAGAAATTTCTATGCAGCAAAACATTTGAGATGCAACTTGGGTACTGTTAAAGGCATTCACTTTTAGAAGGGAAGCAGAGCACAAAACTTCAGAAAATTTGCAGCCTATGTGATAGAAAAGAAAATCTTATTTTCTGAGGAGAAATTCAAGCCAGCTGCAGAAATTTGCATAAGCAATAAGGAGCCAAATATTAATGACCAAGACAATGGGGAAAATGTCTCTAGAGCATTTCAGAGGTCTTCACGGCAGCCCCTCCCATCACAGGCCTGGAGGCTTAGAAGGAAAAAGTGGTGTTGAGGGTGAGGCCCAGGCTCTCTATGCTGTGTGCAGCCTAGGGACTTGGTGCCCTGTGTTCCAGCTGCTCCAGCTGTGGCTGAAAGGGGCCAACATAGAACTCAGGCTGCAGCTTCAGAGGGTGTAAGCCATAAGCCTTGGCAGTTTCCATGTGATGTTGAGCCTGACAGTGCTCAAGAAGTCAAGAATTGGGTACTGGGAACCTCCACCTAGATTTCAGAGGATGTATGGAAATGCCTGGATGTCCAGACAGAAGTTTGCTGCAGGGGCAGGGCCTTCATGGAGAACCTCTGCTAAGGCAGTACAGAGGGAAATGTTGGGTCAGAGCCCCCATGCAGACACCCTACTGGGCCACCACCTAGTGGAACTGTGAGAAGAGGGCCACCATCCTTCAGACTCCAGAATGGTAGATACACTGAAAGCTTGCACTGTGCACCTGGAAAAGCCACAGACACTCAATGCCAGCCAATGAAAGCAGCTGGTAGGGAGGCTGTACCCTGCAAAGGACCTGGCAGAGCTGTCAAAGACCCTGGGACCCCACCTCCTGCATCAGCGTGACCTGCATGTGAGACATGGAGTCAAAGGAGATCATTTTGGAGCTTTAAGATTTGACTGTCCTGCTGGATTTTGGACTTCCATGGGGCCTGTAGCTCTTTTATTTTGGCCAGTTTCTCCCATTTGGAACAGCCGTATTTACCCAATGCATTTACCCTCATTGTATCTAGGAAGTAACTAACTTACTTTTAATTTTACAAGCTCATAGGCAGAAGGGACTTGTCTCACATAAGTCTTTGGACTGTGGACTTTTGAGTTAATGCTGAAATGAGTTAAGACTTTGGGGGACTGTTGAGAAGGCATGATTGGTGTTGAAATGAGGACATGAGATTTGAGAAGGGCCAGGGGTGGGATGATATGGTTTGTCTCTGTCCCACCCAAATTTCATCTTAATTGTAACTCCCACAATTCCCACATTTTGTGGGAGGAACATGGTGGGAGGTAACTGAATCACGGAGGCGGGTGTTTCCTGTGTTGTTCTCATGATAGCGAGTCTCACAAGATCTGATGGTTTTGAAAAATGGGAGTTTCTCTGTACAAGCCCTCTCTCTCTTTGCCTGTTGCCATCCTTATAAGACATGGCTTGCTCCTCCACCATGATTGTGAGGCCTCCCCAGCCACATGGAACTGTAAGTCCATTAAACCTCTTTCTTTTGTAAATTGCCCAGTCTTGGGTATAGTCTTTATCGGCAGTGTGAAAACAAACTAATACAGCTTTCCTCTGCCTTTTTGTTCTATTCAGGTCCTCAACTGACTGGATGGTGTCCATCACACTGAGTAAGGGCAGATCCTCCTTACTCAATCCACTGATTCAAATACTAATCACTTCTGGAAATGCTCTCACAAACTTACTCAGAAAAAATGCTTTACCAGCTGTCTGGGTATCCCTTAATCTAGTCAAGTTGACACTTAAAATTAACCATCATGGTGGTCAATTTAGTAAATGCTTCAAGTACACTTGAAAGTTTTCATATTCTCAAACTGTTGGGATCAAGATTCAATATATATCCATCATATTAAACTTAAAATTTGTCTTTTTCAAATCCTCTATATCCTAAGATTTTGTCTGCTTGATCTACCAATTAGCGAAAGAGTGTTAAAAAGTTTCCACTATGGTTGTAGATTTTTAAATTTTCCCTCACAATTTGATCAATTTCTGTGTCACATATTTTGAATGTATGTTATTTGGTGCATACAAGTTTAGAATTGCTATGTCTTTCAGATGACTTATTCTTTTTTTTGTTTTGTTTTGTTTTTTTTTTTGAGAGGGAGTCTTGCTCTGTCACCCAGGCTGGAGTGCAGTGGCGCGATCCTGGCTCACTGCAAGCTCCGCCTCCCGGGTTCACGCCATTCTCCTGCCTCAGCCTCCCAAGTAGCTGGGACTACAGGTGCCCGCTGCCACGCCGGGCTAATTTTCTGCATTTTTTTTTTAGTAGAGATGGGGTTTCACCGTGTTAGCCAGGATGGTCTCAATCTCCTGACCTCGTGATCCGCCCGCCTCAGCCTCCGAAAGTGCTGGGATTACAGGCGTGAGCCACCCCGCCCGGCTCAGGTGACTTATTCTTTTCTCAATTATGCACTGGGCACTGTTATTCTTAACAATGCTTCAGTAATGGTTTTTGCCTTAAAGACTATTTTTCTAATATTAATATAAGACTTTCCTTTCCCAAGTAGTACTTGCTAGTTTTTCTTTTCCTAGAGTTTTACTTCCAATCTTTCTATGCCTTTAAGGTTTGGATGTGTCTTTAGTAAATATCATTCACCTGAATTTTTAAAATTCAATATTTCAATGTCTGTTTTAGCTGGCAACATTAGAGTGTTTTATTGTAATGCTTTGTGTATTTGGACTTGTCTCCACCATTATATTTTGTGTTTCTACTTGCTGCCCTTATGTTTTCCTGCTTTCTTGTTCATTTGGGGGCCAATCAAGTTTTTTTCTTAACTTCTTCTTGTTTGGAAATAACATATTTTATTTCTGTTCTTCTACCCTAGCTTTGTAAGGCTTAGAGTTAATTAATATATCTACCCTTCATCTAAACAACACAAGAATATAAGGACACTTAAAGTCTGATTATTCCCTACCAATCTTAAATGTTACTATCTTTCAGACCTTTGTATCCACTGAACTTAAAAAAAATATATGTCATTTATTTATTTCTAAATTTCTTATGGCATATTTAAGACAAAAAGAAATCATCATAGCCTCTGTTTACCCTTCAACTTAAGAAATAAAACATTACTCATAGGGTTGATCTGACCAGTTTTGCCTTCCTCCCCTCAGAAATAACTACTGTAAAGTTAAAAAATGTTCCATTTTGTTTTTATTCAGAAATATTGCTTAGATTTACCTAAATATTTGCTATTTTATTTTGTCACTATTGCTTCTTTTACATTGTTCTTTTCTGGATTCAATTTCTTTCTATTGAAGAACATTCTGACTTGGTTTTCAACAAAGTTCTATGAATCATAGCTTCTCATTTATTATCTGGAAATAAATATTTGTATTGGAACTAATTCCTGAATAACACAGGCATAGGATATAAAATATATATAGATACAGAACTGCTGACTGGTAGCTACTTTCTCTCAACATTTTGCAGATGTTATTTTATTTTTTCTATTGTGTTGCTATTAAGAAGTCTCTTGTCAATCTTATTATTATTCATTCGTGGTAATCTGCTTTGATATGCAAAGTTTCTCTAATTCCCTCTACAGAGTCTTTATGAAATTCCTATTCAAATAAATTTCTTTATTCTAACATTTATGTATATATTTGTGTATGTATGTATTTAGAAAGAAATTTATATACACATTGGATAGACTAGATGCCTTATATACACATATAGTGTGTGTGTGTATATATATATGTCTTCATATATGTATGTCTTTATAATCTTAGATTTATTTTCTAGTTTATGAATTTCCTCTAAGCTGTATCTAATATGCCCTTAAAACCATTTAATGTACTTCAAAAGCTTTATTTTACATTTCTAGAATTTCTAATTGATTCTTTTTAAAATCTATCTGCATCTTATTTTTTTAATACATTTTATTTCTCTTCAGTTTTAATCATTTTAAACTTTAGGTATCTTATAATCCACCTTTGGTAGTTCTATTATCTGAAATTCCTTGGGGTATGATTCTGCTGTTTTTACTCTTTTCTAAGTCTCTCAAGGTGGATTTTTTCCCTGTGTGTTTTGTAATTTTGAATGGTGAGCTCATCTTTAATAGGCTTCATCTGGAGGAATCATGTGTGGCCTGGTATGATGTTTTATCACACCAGATTTGTTCTTCATTTGCTTCTGCTGGCAAAATGTTGACATGTGAACATGAGATTTTTCAGGGCATGAAATCTGGACACTGAGCTCATAGGAGGTATATGTCTGTGATTACAAATTATCTGGGGAGGCTTATTTTCCACTGTCTACCCAGACCTAGATAGATAAGCTTCCTTGTTTTCTCTTTGGCTTGTGTATATATTATTTTAGTCTTACCAATTCACTGAAGGTATAGTCCTTAAATGATCCTGGATTTACACAAGGGGTTCAGGCTTAACACTCTACCCCACCTCCCTCCAGAATTTCCAAGGCCTTGTCTTCTGTCTCTGTGAGTATGAAAATGAAAACCTCTAGGTTTCTGAGACCATAACAACCTCCCTAGCCCATGCCAGCCATACTCCTGCCATGTGAGCTTATGCAATCGCTGTTCAGGTTCTCAGTTCTCTCTTCCTTTTGGCAACCCTGATGATTTCTCTTTCTTCCAAACTCAGCTATTAAGATTATTTATTTTATTGTATCTAGCATTCTAGCATTTGTAGTGGGAGAATATTCAGGGTATCTAGACCACTATAATCCTATGACTGGAAGTTGCTTCAAACACAGTTTGTCCCAAACCACACTGATGAGCCTCTTCCCAAATCTGGTTCTACTCCATGTTTCCTGTTTTACAAACCAGAATGTCATCTTGATGGCTTCTTCACCTTCCTTGTCTAACCAATCACCAAGCATGGTTGATTTATCTACTGAACGTATCTATCTTCAACCAATCCACGTGTCTCCATCTCCACTGCCCCACTTTGGTCTAAGACACCATCATGTTCCCCTGGACTACTGTGACAACCTCTTCCTGCTCCTTCTTTCCAATCCATTTCTGTTGCAGCCACAGAAATCTTCCTGATATCTAAATCTGGTCAATTCACTTTCTACTACGTATGGGCACCATACTTAGACCCGGGCATACTGTGTTTATTAGTTTCTGAGAGTTTCCTTAACAAAATACTACAGACTGGGTGCCTTAGACAACAAATTGATTTTCTTACAGTTCTGGAAGCTAGAAGTCCAAAATCAAGGTGTTGGCAGGGCTGATGTCTTCTGAGGCCTTTCTCCTCTTGAATAGCTGTCTTCTCTCTGTGTCTTCACATGGTCTTTTCTCTGGGTGTCCTAATCTCCTTTTCCTATAAAGACACCAGTCTTGGATTTAGGCCCACCCACATGACCTCATTTTACCTTAATGACCTCTCTGCAGGCCTTATCTCCAAATAGTCACATTCCAGGGTGTAGGAGGTAAGGCTTCAACATGTGAATCTATGGGGAGACACAGTTCAGCCTATCACACTGCGTGAAACTGAGCCTCATCAACTTCTCTTCTGTCATTTGCCTGATTTCTCTCTGCTTTCCGGATACTTCTCAGTATACAGTGAGCTCTTTTTTTTGGCCTTAAGGGCTTTGCAAAAACTGCTCCCTTCAGATGGAATGCTCCCCATCAACCAACTTTGTTTAGTCAAAGGTTGGATCTCAGCTTCAACGTTACTTCTTCAGAAAAACCTTTCCTGACTGTCAGATTGGGTTATGTCTCTGTGTTTTGTGTTTTTGCCCCCTCTCATACCACTTTTCATAACTCTAATTAAATGATTACCTATGTAATTACTGAATTTCCTTGATCCTACAATGCTATGAATTGTTAGATATACCATCAATTCCAAAACACTTATAGGGAGAGGGAAAAAATACTAGTCTCTCAGTCAGCTATTGCTACATTATTGTTACATAAAAAACCACCCCAAAATTTGATAGCTTAAAACAGCAAGCATTAATGCCTCCCTCACAGATCTGTGAGATGCTGCAGTTTGCTTATATAAAACTCAACTTCAGGTTCCCAGCTCTGTGCTCCAGGCTGAGTTGGATTTAGGTTGGGTTCATGTATCTTCAAATTTTTCATAGGCCAGTGGCTACCTAGGCTATGGTATTATCACAACGGACGATAGAAGTTGAAGAGACTTGCAGTGTCTGTTAAGTCCTCAGCTAGGAACACTGTCCTCCAACCCAGTTCCAATGGTTACAGCAAGTCCATGGCCAAGCCTGACGTAATGGATTGGGAAAGTACTATGCTTCCTCCAGAGGAAGCACAAAGTCACATGGAAATGGCCATAAATGTAAAACATACAATTCCAGAACAAGGAGGAATAAGGAACAATCATTCAATCTACTACAACTATAGTAAACAGTATGTACACAATTTTTTATTTTGTTTACTTACAATAGATTATTCAATTATGTTTATCTATACAACGATATACCACTTTCTTCCATAGTCTGAGCAAAGTCTCATAGAGCTTCAAGTATTTCTTAGGCACTTTTGATCACCGACAGTTATGCACATCATCCTAGCGACCTGTCCTTCCTAGAACCAGGGCTTATGACCTTGACCTCTTTAACACCTCAGAACCAATACGTACTTTTTAGGCATATGAAAGAATACCAGGGTTCTATTTGCACTCCCAGTCTGGTTAAACTCAGACATGTCCCCCCGCCCCCACCATAACTGACTCTCTTATCCTCAGAAATGAAAAACTTTTCATAGAAATCAACAACTAGTTTTTAACAGATACTTGACAGCTGAACTATAGTCCACAATGCACTAAATGGTCATACCAACCTCTGTAGCTTAGAAATTCTACAATCTCTTGTTAATGTCTCTAATTGTACTGTCTGGTATGTAACAGGGAATTATTTTGAGCATGTCTCATTAACAAAAGATTTATCTCCTACTAGGCATCTTCCCTTCTTAGGAAGTCTGCAAAGGACTTGGGTGCTTCAAGATGAGGTTTAAGTTTAAGTCCCTCATTTTTCCAAGGGAGGGGAGAATACTTGCTTCACTTATTGTGACTTTGCTTGCAGCTCTATTCCCATGGTTTTTTTTTCTGCATATCTAATAACTTTCATTTCAAAGCTACCTTGGAGTCTAGTCCTTTGGAAGACATTTAAAAAGACCACTAGACATCTATATTTAAGTTAAAATTCAACCCCATATGGTGATAGTAGTGGAAATAACTCAATGAAGAAGAGAGACTTGTTTAACAAGAAATACAATGTTTAACAAGAGATACTATAGCACAACTTATTCCTCTGCCTAACATCTGGAAAGTTTCTTTTAACATGGATTGAAGGATCCATTCCAATGTAATACTGAAGTGGTCATCTGAAATTTTGTCTTCCTTAGTTTCCCTAATCTCCCACCACAAGTGTAGGAAAGTGACCCAAGCAAGGTGAATAAATGCCCTTTTGCCAGGGTCTGATTTGGATGCTGGATGTGAGAGGTTCTCTTTTCTGAGGCTGTAAGAATCATAGGCAACACACACACAAGTTATCTTTCCTACCACATCAACATAGCCTTCTAGAGAAAGAAATCAATATAGAGGAGGGGAGAAAGGAGACAGAAGGAGGGATGGAGAGGGAGGGAAAGGAGTAGGGGAGAGGGATGGAGAGAGAGAGACAAAGGGAGAGAGAGAGAAAGGGAGGAGAGGGAGAACAAGGGAGAGAGAGAAAAAGGGAGAGAGAGAGAGAAAGAGAGATGGAGAGAGAGAGAGAGAGAGAGACAGGGTGAGAGAGAAAGGGGCAGAGAGAGTGGTGCTTGAGCACTGGGTCCTCATATTCCCCAAGATCATCTCCTAGAACTTTTCAATACATAAGTCAAATTTAGTGCCTGATTACTGTGAGTTAATTTCTGTCACTTGCAATCCAATAGAGCCCTGGATACTACAAAGTAATAACCCAGATGAACAACATCATGATTAAAAAAACAAATAAAAAAACAAACCCCACCACAGTGCAGCAGCTAAAAATAATTTCAAAGTGATTCAAGTTCTTCATTTATTTTCTTGAACACTGTGAAGGGCACAGAGTCCATAGCTATTCTGAAAAATTCCCCTCTGCCTCCCCCATCTAGTGGTTCACACACAGCAGCTGCTTCTCCTCCTTTGTATCTGTCTTCAAATTCCACTCTCACGTCAAGATAACCTCCTCCTCCAAATTTAATCTTTTGAACTTTTGTTCTTTCTCCCTTTCCTCCCTATTCTCATCCCTAAAGCCCAAAAAGAACTTGTCTGTCAAGGCAAGACTCACCTCAGAACAAAAAGAATGGAGAAAACCAAGCAGGCAAAGCAGGGAAATGTGTTAGCAAGAAGAGAAGGCTGGGAACATCCACAGGTTCCTCATTTTTGTCCCATTGCTCCCCTTTTAAAAATGTTATAAAGTGAAAATAAATGTACCTTCATTTGAGGTTCTGCAAATGTTTTAACATTCTTTTCTTTTTCTTTCTAATCCAATGTCTTCCACGTACATATCAGGCACTTAATAATAATTTTTGAATAAACAAATAACTTAATGACTTTATGAATTACAGAATGAACAAAAAAGGAACACATGAATACACGTCAAAGTAAGACATTAAACATATTTAGAAACCTATTATTGAAAAAATTTATTATGGCCAATACATGCTGGACATCTAGAAGAGTAAAAAATAGTATCTCTAAAACCCAAGCCATCTCTTCACATACATTAAATGAATAAATAAAAAAAGTAAAAAATAATCTTGACATAAAAGCAAATTATATCTGTATTTATCAAAAGTTATCCAAAATTTAAATAATCTCAGTAATCTCAGTAGTAGCTATAACTAAGGATATTAATTTGAATTACTTGCAAACAACAAAAACTCAATCTGACTAAACTAGACATGAATGTATTTTTTGGGAGAAGTTGCAGTATGGATTAGCTACCAAACAGTCTTTTCCTCTCTTTTGTCTTTGTCAACTTCATCCTGTTTTTTTTCATGGTCTATTCATCCCTCTACACCTATATGGCTCACGGTTAGTGTCTAATTGATAGATCCAATTCCCATTCCCCCTGCCAGTTTATGCATATACGATGCAATGAGGTTATGTGGGGGATTCTCCTAGTGAGCTTCTGGCAAACTCTTCTTGACTGCGAAAGAGAGACAAGAAAACAAACAAAAAACAAAAAACAAAAAAACCCTCTCCTGCATCTGGAAAGAGATATATGGTGAGGATGTGACGGCTGGATTGCTGCAGCCTTCTTGTGACCTTACGGGGTCAGGATGAGAGAGTGGAAAGACGTAACCACTCTACATCCATCTTCTTGCTATCTGAAATAATTTTTCCTTGCTGAACAAGTCAGGTGAGCCAGGGCCTTCGGTTTTCCACACCTGACAGAATCCTAGTGGATAGAGAACAATATCAAAGGGAGGGAGGCTGGACTTTTGAGCTTGGGACTGGTAAAAACCCCAGTAGCTGAGAAGGTTAGGAAACAGACCCCACCCACCGTCTTCTGGTGGAAATAGTCTGGTTGGGCTCCTCCACGCAGGAAGGACTGGAATACAGAGGTTGTCTTTTTGTCCCTCTCTTCAAGACAAGATTCCATTTCCAGGATTGATCATATCAGTAAGAAAGAATTATTTCCTCACACAGAATTTCAGATTCTGACAGAAGGATAGGTAGATGCTGAAGAGCCAAAAATGTCCAAGTGTCCACAGCATCAACAATCAGCTTCCCGGTTTACTCTAAGACCTCCTGCATTATGGGTTTCTTGTGTCTTAGTGTTCATCTTCAAAGGGCTTCCATTTCTCCTAATTATCTCCTGTCCTTATTTTCCACTTCCGTAACATTCTCTGTCTTTATTATATTTCATTTTTTAGAGATAGGGTCTTGCTCTGTTGCCTTGGCTAGAATGCAGTGGTGCAATCACAGCTCACTGCAATCTTGAATTCCTGCACTCAAGTGATCCTCCCACTTCAGCCTCCCAAGTAGCTGGAATGACAGGCACATGCCACCACACCTAATTTTTTTTTTTTTTTTAATATACTTTAAGTTCTAGGGTACATGTGCACAACGTGCAGGTTTGTTACATATATATATATGTGCCATGTTGGTTTGCTGCACCCATTAACTCGTCATTTACATTAGGTATATCTCCTAATGCTAACCCTCCCTCCTCCCCCGTCCTCACAAGAGGCCCGGGTGTGTGATGTTCCCCTTCCTGACCACACCTAATTTTTAAAGATTTTTGTACAGATAGAGTCTCACTGTGTTGCCCAGGCTGGTCTCAAATTTCTGGCCTCAAGTGATCCTCCCACCCCGGCCTCTCAAAGTGCTGG